CCTCCTCCTCCTCCTCCTCCTCCTCCTCCTCCTCCTCCGGGCCTTGAATGCCCTTTGCCACCCTGTGAGTGGAGGAGCTGATCTCGCTGCTGGCAACCCGCCTGCTCAGCACTAGAATTGGGCCTGTCCTTCACTGGCTGGCGCACAAAAGCTCATGCCAGGCAGGAACCAGCCCCGGCTCTTCTAGTTGGGGAAAACTGAACCCCCACCCCCCACCCCGGATGTTAGACAACCCCCCCTGTCCGGGTGTGCAGTTGGTGATTTGACAGCAATCCTGGCACCTGGGGGGCATCTCTGTCCCGCTGGGGCCTGGGGACGGGGCAGGGGGAAGGGGGGAGGTAGAGGCCCACCCTCGTGGGGGGGGGTAGGGATTGGCAGCAATCCACTGGCACCACTGGACAGGTTTGGTCTGCGGGTGGCAGGGGCTCTTGAAGGCTGTGGTCTGCCTTGGGTGCACTGGCCAGGCCCTGGGGTGCAGTGGGGAGGGGTCCCAGGCAGTGTCTGGAGCCTGAGTCCGAGGCCACCGGTGGAGTGGAGCCACACGAGTCCAGTCCCAGGAGCGGCTGTGTGCCAGTGTCCGTTGCTCCTTCCTGTCACCCGCTGAGCTGCTCAGCTCTGCCAGGTGCCACCCAGCAGATATCCTCACAGGGATGAAGCCGTCCTTGGAGTGAGTCTGAGGTGGTGCCCAGAGCAAGTGGCCACAGCCTGGTCCTGAACTGAACCTAGGGCGGAGCTGAGTGCTCCACCAAGGGGCGGGCCTCCCCAGGACTCCGCCCCCCTTGGCACCCGCCTGAGAGGACACATCCAAGGCACAGAGGGTTAGGGGCCTGGCCCTGGAACAAGAATTCTTCCCCCAAGGGCCTTGGAGGTGGGAGAGTTCGGACGTCCTGCCTGCCCAGATGTAGGCCAGGTATGACCAGCACTTCAGAAATTCAGGGAGGAGAAGGAAGGCAGGGAGCAGAGGTCAACCCTGCACTCCAGAAACGCCTCTTCCCTTTGCAGTTCTTTTTTTTTTCTTTCTTTTGTTTTTTATTAATTTATTTTATTTGTGAACATACTGTACAGAGGGGTTACAATTACATGGGCAGGATAATGCGTACATTTCTTACCAAGCATTGCAACCTCCTCCTTTGTTTATCCTTCACATCCCTTCCCAGCCTCTCCCCTCCCCTCCCAGTCCCAATCCTCCCCCCTCCCCCGCCCCTTTGCAGTTCTTTCTCCGAATAAGCCTTTTGCTCTGACGGGTAGAGGCAGGAGCTGGCCCAGTGCTGAGGGTGTGGCCCTTGTGCACAGACCCTCCTGCCCTGCCTGGCCCAGGATGCTCACCTCCCCAACTCACCTTCTCAAGAGCCAGGTTCAGACCTCCAGTGTGGAGGGAGTAGCGGTCTTTGAAGACCGTACATAGGTGATACGGGGAGTGGAATCCACCCGCTCAGGGGCTCCGAGGTTGCCACACACAGCATATGGAAATCTAGAATGCTCAGGCCCACTTGAATATCAGATACACGTCTTGTCTTTTTCAGACGTGAAAATATACTATGAAAAAGAGCGGAAGGATCCAGCGTGTGGGTGAGACTGAAATTGGGCTAGGCGCCCTGGATTTGGTCCGGTAATGATTTCAGTCCCGAAGAGAGACCGTGGCCAGCCCCTGCCCACATGGACAATTCAGTCCAACCGTAGAGCAAAAGACACAGGAAGCTTGAGAACCACTAATGACTCCGAGCTTGCAGTCCGGTGGTTCAGGAAGGTCACTAATGACAGGGCCCTCACCTGTGATTTCGCTGGGGTGGGGGTGGGAGAGAGTTCTCTGGCCATCGGAGACCTTAGAGAAAGAGGTTGAGGGGAGGCCGGGATTGGACCCTAGATTATTTGGGCCCACTTTAAGCTTCTGAACTGAGGCTCCTCCCCAACTCCAACCCACCCCCACACAGCAAAGTTCTAGAACATATAATGGAGATAGAAGAGATGTGGTTACAGTGCCCACATCCTTCACCAAAAACCTTTACCTTCCTGCGCTTGTTTCTTGGTCACCTTGAAAGCCAAAAGGCTTGGGCACTTCTGGAAACCCCCATAAGTAAACACACAGCTTGCTTCTGGGTCAGGGAACAAGAAACATCCCAGGTCAGAAGCAAAGGGCTTCCAAGGGCTTCTGGCCTGCAGCCTTTATTGGCTGAACCAAAGGAGGAGAGGAGCCGCCTTGCTCACCTCCAGCCCACCTTCCCCAGCCGTGTCCCTCTTGCGGGGCTCTACCTCAGTCCCCATCCTGCGACCTCAGCTTTACCCAGGATGGCTGGGAGTGACACTGGAACCGGAGGCAGCTTGGGTGGGCACAGACCAGCAAGCCCCACACCAAGCCAGACTCTCTGCTGTCTAGAAGCCACTCAGTCTGTGATCGGGGCTGGGCGACTTCTCTTCAGAGGAGGTGAAGACTGTGAAGAGGAAATTGTATTGAAGGCTGTTATTCTTGGATACAAGTGTCTACTTCCTGTAGCCACCAGTTCAGAAAGACACCCCTCCCCCACCCCTCCGCAGCGCCTCTTCCCTTTGCAGTTAATAATCACAGTTCATATTGATTGCGTGCTTATTATATGCCCTGCACTTTAGGGGGATTATCTCACGTTCATTCTTTCATCTCCGTGGGGAGGGGGGTTGTCTCTCACTGACCTTCTTTGACAGGTGGCAGTGTGAAGACTTGGTAGCTAATGTCCCCACGTTGAAGAGCTAGCGAGTGGGGGAAGAGACGGGAGGCAGTTCGAACACACTCCCTGGGGGTGTGTGGGGCCTTCAGAGGCCGGCTCTGGCCCTGGCCTCTTCTGAATTTGCTCTAGATTGTTCCAGCATGGGGACCCACCCTTCAGAGCACTCTCCACCCCACCCCCCAGCTCACGGTCAGCCAGTTGCATGCACAGCCCTCACGTGTACACTTGCGTGCGTGTCCGGTCCTGCGTGTGCACACGCGTGTGTGGCCAGGCTTTCCCGACCAAGCTCCTTCCTGAGCTGCAAGCTGTTATCCTCACCCACAAGCATGGATGCCCAGGGCTCCCCACGGCCCCCTCCACCCCTCCTATGTATGCTGGGCTCAGCTGCTGGGGGGGGGGGGGCGGAGGGTGGCTGCCCTGCCTGCCCTTGCTCTTACCCAGGTGATCCGTGAGCGTTTCAGAAGACTTGGGGTAATTATGTATTATTGAATTTAGGGAAGGAGGCCTTACGGATAATCCTGGAAGAAGTTCCAGGAAGACGGAGGTTTCGATTCTCTGTTTAGCCGAGTGGTCTGTGGTGCTTCCTCCGGATGGCGGGGTCCCAGCTCTCCACCCAGTGCAGATTTAATGGATAGCCAGAGTGGTGAGATGCGGGCCCTGTGCACCCCCAAACACAAACACGCACATATACTCTTGATGGGGCTTTCATTTTCCATGTTTTTTTTTCTTTTGGTGGTACTGGGGGTTTGAACTCATGTTTGCCAGGCAGGCACTGTACTGCACACACACACACACACACACACACATACTCTCTCTCTCTGTCTCTCTCTCTCTCTGTCTCTCTCTCATTCGCGAGTTTGGTCTTTATGCGGTGGAGCTGGAGCCTGACGCACGGTGAGAGCCCCCTCCCTGCGGGCTGTGCGTGTTTCTCTTCACCGATCGTCTGAAGTTTTTCAAATCTGGATTGAGACAGGAGGCTGCATATGTGAAGGCTGTACCAAGTGCACGTATGTGTGTGTGTGTGTGCACATGTGGTGTGTGTGCATGTGCCCATGAGCGCACACACATATTTAGGGCCACCTGTCTTCTCCCTCGCATGGTGAAGGTGAACGCTGCCAGCAACTGGGCCCCGGGGCCTTTGAACCTGCACCAGGTGTCTCGCGAACCTCCCTGGATTTCCTCCCTCTCCAGTTTCAGCTGAGAAATTCTTCACTAATTCCACCGTATCTGGTTTCTCATTGTTCTCTGCATTTCAGACGGCCCCTTGGGGTGGGCTTCGGAAAGGGGTGTTTAATGTTCTCAGTCTTCTAGGGGGACCCTGGCCCGATAGCCCCTCTCACTGCCAGGGTGGACAACCTCCCGAAGAGGCTGCCCTGCCGCCCCGTGTGAGCCCACGCACTGGGGAGAGGAGCAAAGGCCCACCCCACGGCGGGAGAGGGGGTTGGGGTCCTCTTCTCACACCCCCAAAGCAGGTCCCAAGCCAGGGAGAACAGAACAATGAACTGAGGCTCCTTTGGAATAGGACACTGGACTCAAATGAAGGTCTGAAAGTAAGTGGGGTGTCATCCATTCTGCCTGCCCTTAGGGTTTGCGGATGAAAGCCAACGGTGGTGGAGGGAAGAAGGCCTGGGCTGTGGAAAGCAGGTAGGAGACCTCTCTTGGCCCCCAGGCCTCTAGAAGCAGGCAGGGCTATACGATCATGAGGCAGTTAGGAGTGAGGAGGGAAGAGATGGGCAAGCAGAGCCCCTGGTATGGCGCGGAGGCAAGCAGGGGCCTCGGAGGGCCTTCTCTGCTTTGTTTCTGGCATTCACCCCTCCCACCAGCTCTGAGAAGGGGAGAGGAAAGTCTGAGGGCTGGGTGGGGGGGCTTGAGGCCAGCTGTTTTCCCCCTCAGCCTCCCATGCATCTTCCCACTGGCTCCTCTCCTGGCACTGGAAATTATTTATGTTTGCAAATTGCTTTTGACTCACTTGAGTTATTCCTCTCGCTTGCCAACAGGTCTGGGGATGGGAGTTACGGAGCTGCAAGCTGAAAATCCAAGGAGACAGCTGAGGGAGCAGCGGAGTGGAAGGCAGGAGCTCCGGGGACGGCGTCTCCTCTCCGCCACTGCTTCCACCTCCCGGCCCGCAGGTGCCTGTCCGCAAAGCCCAACCGGCGTGGCTCGTGAGCACACTGGGATTCCCTGGCTCTCACGGCCTCTGGGCCCGTGTCACCAGGACAGGACAGCACAGAGCAGCACATGCCCACCTTCTGGGTAACGCTGAAGGGAGCTGCACAGCCAGAGGCCGGAGATGCAGCCACGCAGCCTGGCCCACAGAAAGCCCTAGCGGCGTGCCTACCCTGCCCCCCTTTGTCTTTTGCTCCACACTGGTCCCTCACGAAGTCTCGTTCCACAGATGAAAACAAATGTCTGCAGAGGAGCCCGAAGGCTGGAACCCCCCCACCCCCTCCTGGGGGAGCCCGAAGGCTGGAACCCCCCACCCCCTCCTGGGGGAGCCCGAAGGCTGGAACCCCCCACCCCCTCCTGGGACTGGTCTGGAAGGAGAATGCACCTGGGGCTTCATGGATTCACTGTCTTCACCATCGGGAACAGCTCCGTGGACGGTGGGTGGAGCCATAGGCCGTGAATCGTGGGGCTCCCCAAAACTCAGAGAGGGGCCTTGAAGCTTCTATTCCAAGGCTCTCACTCAATCGATGGGAAAACTGAGCTCCTGAAAGACCAGACTCCACATCAAGAGGAACTATCAGTTCTATCCAGAGATCACTCTCCAAGCCAAAGAAGGTACCTGGGTCCCCTCGAGGGGCTGAGTTTACCCATTTCCCCTCTATAACATTGGCAATGTTAGGCTGGGCGCTGGTGGCTCAGGCCCGTCATCCTAGCTACTTGGGAGACTGAGATCTGAGGATCAAGGTTCAAAGTCAGCCCGGGAGCAGAAACATCCATGATACTTTTATCTGCAATTAACCGTGAGAAAACCGGAAGTGGCGCTGTGGCTCAAGTGGTAGAGCGCTCGCCTTGAGCTGAAGAGCACAGGGACGGACAGCGCCCAGGCCCAGAGTTCAAGCCCCACGACTGACCCCCCAAAAAATAATAAATTGGCGGTGTTAATCTGAGTGATGACAACACAATTCCAAGCCCAGAGCCATGGCGGTGATTGAGCGACCGCATGCAGCTGCCCAAGTGCCGTCCACCATCTGGCTCCTGTTCTCTGGACTGTGGCTTGGGCCTCATCCAGAGCGGATGTGAGGGGCTTTCCTCCAAGCCAGTGACCAAAATGAGGATGAAGGCTGCTCCCAGGCCTGGCTCTCCAAGGTGGAGAAGAACCTGCTGATCTCAGAGCTTTGAGTCCATCTGCCTCTGGGGGAAGACAGCGTTTGCTAGCTGTGGCCATACCGTGATGAACCTCAGCCCCTGGTCTAGAGGGGGACTTTGGGGTCTGTGTCTCCTGCGATGGACAGGGCTGTGGGGGGGCAGACAGCAGACAGAAGGCCTCTCCGGAAGACCACCTCTCTCCCAAAGCCCACCCCTTCCTCTGAGCCTGCGGTCAGGTCCTAACAGAAGAGACCCCTATCTTGAATTGACATGATCCCCCCCACCCCAGACCTCATCCTCAGAGGGCCTCTCTCCATCCGTCCTCTTCATTCCTCCTAGGAAAGAACCCCAATCAGGGTGTTTCTAGGGTGGTGGCCGGCTGGGGCACTAAGCCAGCAGCTTTTAACCTTCATACTTTGGAAAGAGACTAGAGAAAGGGTGAGGAAGTTGGGGGAGCAAAGCAAATGGAGAGAAGGGGGGGGAAAGAAAGAAGCTGGGAGGGAGGCAGGGACAGGTGGCAAAAACCAGGACCCAGTGTGGCCCTAGTCCTAGCAGAAGCAAAGAGACAAAAGCAGTTGAGGGAAAAGATCAGAGAGCAAGTCAGGCAGGATGGGAGATCCCACGCCACACCAAGGCCTGGGGAGACCAAGGACTCAAAACACACCTCGTCAGCCAGGTCTTGGTGGATGAGTCATGCTTATAATCCTAGCTACTTAGGAGGCAGAGATTTGGTTTTCTTTGTTTTGTTTCATTTACTCTGTGCTAGCCCTGCATCTGGGCGCTGTCCCTGGGCTCTTTTGTTCAAGGCTAGTGCTCTACCACTTCAATTACAGCTCCACTGTCTGGGTTGCAGATTATGAAGCCAGCCTGGTCAGGAAAGTCCAGGAGACTCCTATCTCCAATGAACCAATGTGTGACTCAATTGGTAGAGTACCAACGTGGAGCAAAAAGAAAGTTCAGGGACAGCACCCAGGCCCTGAGTACAAGCCCCAGCACAGACACACCCCCCACACCAAGTTGGAAGGGATTATCTCCTGGAATGCACACATCCTCCTAGGAGGAACACATCATCATCATCATCATCATCATCACCATCGCAGTGAGATTCCCACCTGAAAGGCAGAGGCTACTACCGACCAGGAAGAAATATCGACGGTGGAGTCTTCAAATGTCAGGGCTGAGCAGCCCCAGGGCGGTGGCAGAGGCCCTGCCTGGTATAAGCAGACGCGAGGAGACAGGATGCTGAGTGCTGCTCACCATTCTGGTTTGGCTTTTGGAACAGGAAAAATAAAAATGAGTCACAAAGAGAATTATTGAGGAAACTGACAAAATGTGTAAGGGCTTGGGTGAGACAAGAGTGCGCTGGGAGGAAAGCAGCTGTCCTGAGCAGGAGAACGCCCCTCCCCGTTCCTCCTGCCCGAGGCATGTAGACACAGAAGGGCACAAAATATCCAAGTTGTCCTCAAACAGTTCAGGGGGGAAAAAAAGTCAAAACATGCAAACCGTAGGTATCTAGATAACGGGTGCGTGTGGGGGTCCGGGAAGGGGGGGTTCCAGGAGGGGCCGCTCTGCCTCTTGCTGACTTCTCGCCACTGGGCTGGGCTCAGCATTCCTCTCAGACCAAGGGTGGAAGCGGAAGTGGCGGAAAGACCCAGGATTTAGCCAACGCCGCAGACCTGCCGTGTGGGCCAGCCACTCTGTCCTCACCAGCTCTGTGTCCTGGGGCTCTGGCCTCCAAAGCTGCCCTCGTTTGGCTCATTCCTGTCAGGTAGTCTTCAATTGTTGACTCAGGGAATGCCCCTGACCAGAGACTGGAACACCTTAACCTGCAATCATTCCTTCCCAGTCTACCTCCCTTCCACGCCACCCCCACCACACACGCACCACACACACGCACACACACGCACGCACCCACCACACACGCACCCACCACACACGCACACACACACACCCACCCACACACACGCACACACACCACACACGCACACACACACACGCACCACACACGCACCCACCACACACACACCCACCACACACACACACTCACCCACCACACACACACACCACACACACGCACCCACCACACACACACACACACACACACTCACACACACACACGCACACACACACACCACACACGCACACACACACCACACACACACTCACACACACACGCACACACACACACACACACACACAGAACAGAAACACCCGGAGGGCAGATCCTCCATCTCCGTCATCCATCCATCAGTCCTCAGCAACTAGAACTTGAGCAACTCCAGAGCTGTTTGTTGATGGAAGGAATGTCAAGAAGGAGGGGGAGAGGGAGAATGGAAGGAGGGAGGGGAAAAAGGGAGGGAGAGAAGGAGGAACTTAATAGAAGAGAACTAGGGGGCGGAAATGTGGCCCAGTGGTGGAGTGCTTGCCTAGCACCCATGAAGCCCTGGGTCCCATTCCTCAGCACCACACACACAGAAAAAGGCAGAAGTGGTGCTGTGGCTCAAGTGGTAGAGTGTTAGTCTTGAGCTGAAGAGCTGAGGGACAGTGCCACAGAGTTCAAGCCCCGTGACAAACAAAAAGAAGGGGTGGGGGGAAGAAGAGGAGGAGGAAGAAGAGAAGGAGGGGGGGAGGAGGGGAAGGAGGACTAGGAAGGAAGTTTGAGAAGGAAGGAGGCTCTCCCAGCAGAGCCCCTGGGCAGCGCCAGCCCAGTACAGTGGGGGGAGAATGTCAGGTGTTATTTGGATCAAGTCCAGCTCAGCCCCATCCTGGGGCTGGTGGCAGACAGCATATTCCCGCTTGGTAATTCTGTCCTTCATCTGGCTTCCCTGTCAACTTAATTTCATCTAAGAAGGACAGATTAGAAGGGGTGCATTGTTCTACCGTGATGAGGTCAAGTGTGGGTTTAGCTCTCAAGCAACAGCTTGTACCCCACAAATATACACCCCTGGTGAACAGAGCTGGAAACCGAAACAGCCCTAAGAGCCTATGGCTTACCTTCTCCAGGCTGATCGGGGCCTTGCTGGAAGTGCTTCTCATTCTCCCACGAACCTCCCTGTAATGGGAAAGAGATAAGATCCGTGGAAACAGCGGCTCAGGCCTGTGAGGCAGCTGAGCGATGACAGGAGGAGGGAGGGAGGCCTCTGGTAGTTCGGGTCACCACGGTGGCTCCTGCTTTGGTAGCAACACCTTGAAAACACTGAGCCGACCGTGACCTGGAAGCTGGTGCTGGGCAGGATGGCAGGGCACCAAGCTTGCTGGCAGGGACCTTTCGGATAGAACTGGTCGGTCCCTTCTCCAACGTAACCCAGCCCAAGAGAAGAGCCTGGTTGAGGAGGATGGAGGAGAAAGCCGTCAGGGTCTCATCCGCAGAGGCCCGCATCCTGACCTTGGCTCCTGTCTATCTTCCCTCGGGTCGTGGTTCAGAGATCTGAATCCGGGCACACACACGCATTTACGTGTATGCGCTCGTGTGCACGCACGCGCACAGACACACCAGCCAATTTAGCTGATCAGATCTGGGCTCTACAAGTAGGAGCCATCTTGACACTGAAAATGTGGGAGGCGGTCTCCTGATCTGTTCGGGGCCTCTCAGCTGGGCAGGGATGAAATCACCTGGGGGTCAGCCCCGGCGGGCTCCCCGCAGACAAGCCATCTTGGTGTGGCCATGTCCCCCTTCCGTGGCGGGTGTGGGACTGCCCACAAAGGGAGCTTGTGACCTGGTGCCCCAGTTCCTGTCCTCCAGATGAGACCTACAAGCACTGCTTCCCCGAGGGGCCTCGCTAGCTAGGAGGCGTGGAGGACTCGCCTCTCTTGGCTTCTGGAAACTTCCGTTCCAGGCCTCTGGAAACCCACTGTGGAACAGCTGTCCTGGTCTTCTCTGCTCAGCACTGGAGAGGATGATTCTCACTGTCCAGCGTCCCCTGCAGCCACACAGCTGGGGGGAGGAGCCCTAGCTTCCACCAAGCCAGTGGGGGCGTGTCCAGAATTATAGACCCGCCCATGGCTCAGGAAGGGCCCGCCTGCCCGGAGCCCTGGCCCGGCTCACAGCACCAGTGTCCTGTGAACACAGCTGGCTCTAACGCTTCTTACTGAATACAATGATGCATTTTTTTTTCACCTCATGCTCCAACTAAGCTCTGCCCAGTGTCTGGGAGACCTGGACGGAGGCTGATCCAATGAATGGATGGATGGATGAGTTCTGGGGATGAGGCCTGAGGCCTGAGTACCACCACTGCCTCAGCCAAGAGTGGGACTGGAGGGAATGGCTGTCACCACCTGCAGCTGACCAGGCTCCCAGCAGAGGCCTCCCGGGCCCAGGCCTGCGCAGGCCCTTCCTAGACATCGCTTTCCACTTGCATGCCCTGTGGGTCTGGGTCACTCTTTTAGTGTCTGTCTGTCTGTCTGTCTCTCTCCTGTCTCCCTGTGAGTACGTCTATCTCTCTCTTGCAGTCTGTTTCTCCTCCCTCACCACCACCCCCGGCTTTATCCCTTTACCCTTCATCCACTTATGAAATACGAACTTTTGACACAGATTGTAGGGTGCTGTGCTTCCTCCCCGCCCCCTCCCACTTCTCATAGTTTTCCTCATCAGCTTGAATTTAGGGGATACCAGAAGCAACAGCAGCCCGGCATCCACACCCCGGATTCACGCTCCCTTCCCCCTGCTCACAGAGCAGCACCCACCGTGGGGCAGGCCTGGAGGGCTCCCTCTCCCTAACCCTCGTGATAACTTGAAGTCCTGGCCACACTAGTGAGGCCCCCTTGCACACCCGAGTGAAGGAACTAGTGCCTGGGCCCAGGGGTGGGTCCTCGGGCATCTGAATGGGAAATGTGTGGGGGCCGGGAAGTGTGTGTGTCATTCAAGTCTGCTTCCTGGCTGAGCAGGAAGTCCCCTCCAACACCAACCTACCAGAGTCCTTCCAGGACTCCAGGACCACCATAAGGAAGGAGCTGGAAAAAGCCTTGGGGTGGATGCGGGATACTCACTACCTGCCCCCTCTCCAGCGGCATGTATGGAGCCCAGAGCCCCTGCTCTTCCCTGAGGCCAGCGGTAATATCCACGCTCAGGGCAGACAAGTGAGGGAAGGCCTGCAAGGTTGGGAATGGAACTGCTCTGGGCCTGGCTGAGGCCCAAGCTCCCTGGCTTCTCCCAGACCAGCCTGCCAGTCAGCTTGGCTACATCAGGGAAGTGTCAGGCCACAGAGTCTGCTTAGCAGAACTAGCTGCTGACTCCCCCTCCTCGCTTCTGAGAGTGTTTGGGGGCTGGGGGTGCATGCCCAGGGCCTCAGGCACACACTAAGAATACACTCTGCTGGTGCCGATCCCCTGAGCTCCTTTTTTTTTTGAGGCCCACTGGCCTTGACCTTGGGATCCTCCCACCTCAGCCTCCTCGGGGCTGAGACAGCAAGTGCGCGCGCACACACACACACACACACACACACACACACACACACACGTCATCATGTCCCTCTTGGCACCACCCTCTCACCAAAACTGCCAGCCGTTACCACCAGCTTCAATTCGCCGCTCCTCTATCTCCAGGGTGAGTCCAGCCACACTGGGTTGGGTGGAGCAGCCAGCCCTACCAATCCCTAGCCAGGAGGCCAAAGTGGTCAGCCAACCTCCATCTGGCTTTTCCATGACCCTGAGTCCCTAGTTAACTCCTACGGTGGGCGGATCTCCACAGTGCCCAGGGCTTCCCCAGGGAGGCACTGCCCAGGCTGCAAATGACCCCAGGTTAGAAGTCCCACGAGGGCCAAAGCCAAGGCTGTTTTGCTCAGAAAACACCCCTGATGCCAAGCTGGGCTGGGCACAGAGATGCCCAGGATATCTCTTGGATGGGGGTGGAGGAGGGGGGCAGAGGCAGTAGCTCATGCCTAGGCATGGGCTTCCTTTGTGCTAGCAACACAGGGCACTGCCAGCCAGGTACCTTCTGGGCCTCAGAGCAGGGCCGCACAGGGCTCCAGGCAGGCTTCCCCACAGCCACCAGGACACACACGGAGGACCCGAGGGGCAGGGACCCGGCCGCGGAGGTGAAGCCCTCTTCCCACCACCATGTGGGTGGCACAGCCCCCTCTCAGTGCCAGGCCTTTGGCGTTGTTTTATGGAGTCCTCCGTACCCTTATTGTCCAGTTAAGTCCTGAAGAAACTAGAGACCCAGCTGGGATGGCTTTTGGACCCAGGTGTGGGCCATGCTTGCATTCAACTTGTTCCCTGAAGACACGGAAGCTGAGCTGGGAAGGTAGCTCAGCGGTAGAGTGCTTGTCTAGCATGCATGAAGCCCTGGGTTCGATTCCTCACTACCACAGACACAGAAAAAGCCAGAAGAGGTGCTGTGGCTCAAGCTAGCCTTGAGCAAAAGAAGCTCAGGCACAGTGCCCAGGCCCTGAGTTCAAGCCCCAGGACTAGCAAAAAAGAAAAAAAATGATGTGGAATGTTAGCAGTGGAGACTCCAGGTGTCATTCAGAGTGCCTCCTAGCTACGCAGGATTTCCTAAGATCCAATGGATCTGAAAGTCCCGAGGGCAGGCCGTCTGTTTCTCCCAGCTCAGGGCAGCCCTTAGCCACTTGGAATGCAAATACCCTGTAACTCCCTTCTTGGGGAGTCTTGGGGCACCCCAAGCTCGACCCCCCACCCTGAGTCAAGCTGCCAGGGGTGTTTTCCACCTGAGCAGTCCCCTGCCCTGCTCTCCTACTCACCCCTCCCCTGACTCATTTGGAAGATACACTGACCTCTGTCTGCCAAGCACTGGGTGAAAGAGCGAGCCCTGGCTTTTCCTGTTCGCCCCATCCTCCCCTTTTCCTCTCTTCTCTTTCCTATTTAAAGCCTTTTAACCTGTCCTAGAGGAAATCAGCAAGCCACCACGCCCGCCTGAACCTCCTCCCCCCGTGGCTAGACACGCTGGCCGTCTCCACAGACATTGTCTCCTCTTCCCCTTGCCCACATTAAGGAAAAGGGGACCCCTAAAAATTAATAGGAAGCCCACCACAGGGAAGCCTGGGATCCCCCGCCCTTCCAGAAGGACCCTGCCAGCGCTGACTGCTCCCCCTCTGGCCCCCTCTCCCCGCAGACAGGGGAGGGGGTTCTGCGGCACAGTGTGAAGGACCGCACCTGGACGGATGGACTTGGTAAAGCAGCCCCCCGTGTTCTCGGACCCTCTGATGGAGCCCGGGAGCCGGGGAGGTGCTCCTTCACTGGGCATCCCTCTGCTGCGTTCCCACCGCCCGCCCCGCACTGCCTGGCCACTTCCCTACCCCCCCCACTCCCCCCACCCGGTGGCATCCTGTCGTGGCCCGCCGGCCTGCACACCCGACGTCGCTGGAGGGGGTCTGAGTGAGGCAGCCGGTCCTCGAGAGGATGCCCACGGCAGGGTCTGTCCTCGTCCCTCTGGACATGGAGACACAGCTGTGGGTTTTTTTTTCCTTTTTCCGAGCGCAAGTTAGCGAGAGGGAAGGATTTCACTGCGACACGTTCTCGCCGATACACACAATGAATGCGCTGCCCACCCCTGCTCCCCTGCTCTCCAGCGCGGCGGTGTGGCTTGCTGAGCCCCCAAAACACGTGCTGCACTGGGGCCCTGCTGGGGCTGGGGCGCCATCGCCAGGCGCTTCCGGCCACTGGGTCCCCCCCAGGGCCGTCCGGGCTCCTGGAGACACCGTGACCCCACACAGCCTCCGGGGAGCCTGGCCGGCTTCCCGTGTCATCCTGGGCTCCGTCCTACCCAGACTCTAAGTGCCCTGGGGCAGGTGGTGCCTGCGCCCACGCTGTCCCGGTGTGGACTGTGCATGGAGGTGCTCTGGTCCTGGTTTTGCACCTCAGGGGGGAGAGGGGACCCCCTCACCCGGCGCCCCGAGGTCCCCCGTGTGGGGCAGACGCATGGCATTGACACCAGCCCGGGCACATCCATTCTGCACCGGGCAGCCCGGGCCCCCCAGCGCCGGCCCGCCCCACCCCACCCCACCCCACCCCGGAGCCTGGCCCGGTCGCTTGGGAAATACTCTAAGTGGTCAGACTGGTTTCCAGAGCTGGGCTTAGAACCCACGGGTGGGCGATGGTGGGGAGGCGTGAATCCCGAGGGTGGCAGCGAATCGGCCAGGGGGGGGGCGCCTTGGTTTTTCGGACCCTCGTGGGGGAGGTGCAGGGGACCGTAGCCCAGTTTCAGGTGCGGTGGGCACCAGCACTGCCCGGTCCCCACCCCCATCCTGAGGCTGGCCAAGAACTGGCAGAGGCACAGGCAGAAGCGCTCGGCCTGGGCTTAGATCTCCGGGAAGGAGGGGGCGAAAGAACCGGTTTTGCCCCAACCTGCAGCGTGACCTTAGGCCAGTCACGTGCAACCACGCTCCAGCCTCAGTTTCCTCCTCTGCCATCCACCGACCCAAGCAGGTGGACACTCCTGGAGACTCAGGGGTGTGGGGCACCGGGCCACAGAGCCAATGTGGGTCTGCGTGCCACCTGGGGCTACCCCTGGCGCTGGGAGGGTCCCCCAGAAACCACGCCGGGCGGGTGTCCTCTCACCGCACCGCCAGGCACTTGGAGCCAAGAAAATGGAGTCTCGGGGAGCAAAATGCTCCGCCAAGTAGTCGCCGGGCGTGCGGCGGGCAGGGGCGAGGCTCCCGGAGGCTCTGGGTGGAGGAAGGGCCGTCCGGCCCGCGCACCCCTTCCCTGGTTCTAGATCTCGGGCTCCCGCGCAGGGGCGTCGAGGGAAGGGGCCGCGGGGCCGGACGCCCTCCCGGAGACGAGCGCAGGCTCGCCTGGAGCCACCGCTGGGCGGGGAGGTGGGGACGCAGTGCGGAGAGGGACCGCGGGGGGTTGCGGTTTTCTTTGTGGTCCGGGGTGGGAAGGAGGACCGGAGACCGTGAAGTTGGGGATGGCTCTGGGACTGGGGACCCGCCCCACCCCATCGGAAGAGTAAAGGAACCCAGGGCTACCGAAATGCCCGGTCCTTGTCTCCGCTGGGGTCCCCTCTCCCCGCAACCCGGGTGGGCCGCAGCGGGGGTGCGTGTCCAGCCAGCCCGTGCTGGAAAGGAAGGGGGGGATCCCCGGCGGCGGGGGCTGCGCGCGCGAACG